TCTCGAAAGAACCAAATTAGTTTGCAGATGAGTGTATAATCGCCAATTTGTTCAGTTTCGTTTTGGTAAGACAAAGAATTCCCCCCATCAGTGTTTCTGAAACTTCCTAGCCTTGTGCACCTTCTCAGCATGTTGTCCTCTGATTCAAGAGGCCCGATTCACTATGAAAACAAGCTTGACAGTGTGTTGCATGTGTGTAAGACCAGAAAATGTTAGGTCACTGGCATATTAAAAGGATTTTGCTTTGACGCTCGAAATAGCGCTTATGGATGCGGGTCAACCGACATGCCTCTGTCCGATGCCGGAATACCGAAGTAACCAACGAGGCAACAGTGAATATCCTTAAGCATGTAACAAGAATATCACGGACTTCATATACAACGCAAAACGGACACGGGGTAAGTTTTGAGGGAGCTCAGGTTCGCAGAATTCTGGCTTCCACTCCTCCCTGAAACTTTGGAATCTACCTACAAGGGGAACTACCTCAGGCAAGGAAATGCCTGTCTCTGCAGGCGACTTTTAAATATCAATTGGTACATTCAGAACATGGTTTTAAGTTTTCCTGCGGTTATGGACAGAGAAGTCATCCACCGTCTTTGTCTTCAGTTTCCTTTTTCCATGGACTAGATTTTGTGTACACGGGGGAAGTTTTATCGTTTTTTTCTCTGTTTAGGCTAACCGATGTCTACGGAAGCAAAGAACACACTAGCGGATATGCATGGTGTCCAAATTCAATGGTGGACGAGATGTTACGCGAATGGATTCAGGCGGAATTCAGCGACCTTGTGATCATCAAATCCATTTTCACCGCCGGTAGAGGAGACGGAAATGTGAGTGTGCCCTTTTTTTAACTGCTTGTTCGTACTGGCCTCATCCGCTGAACCTGTAGGAATAACGGCTTGGGGGAGAACACGATGGATTCTTTTCAGACGGGCTTACTAAACAGTTGGTACTTTTGTTTGTTTGTTTACCAAGCGGTTTACCAATCGGTTCCAAACGTTTTCCAAACGGTGAATCCTTCTCAAACAATGACTTCTCAGTCGGTTCCAAACGTTTTCCAAACGGTGAATTCTGGTTGGCGTGAATACGTAGACTTTTCATTGCACGATGCCACCGAGATTGTCAGCCAAACAAACAAAAATGATCAGATTGCCTTGAATGTTCATTAAAGTTCAGCTTATCTAAAGTGCGTCCAATAAGTTACTGTTTTTTTTTAGAGCGGCTTCCCCTTGCAGCCAAGCTTCAACGAATTGCCTATAAATAACGGGAATTCAGGCTTTCTTGTTTCCTGCGGCGGTTGTGCGACAAAACAAACCATATATCCTGCTACCTGTTGTAACAAACAGACGTGTTAACGGTGTTTGATCTGATCCAAACATGTTTCGTCATGTGATTTTTCCTAGACTTGTGTGTTGTTGTGCAAATCGTCAGAGTTACAAATGTACAATGTTACAATTGGCTACAAATGTTATTGTTATCAACTTGGAATTTGTTTGTCTGTAACCTTTCGCTAGAGTGAGGTACTTGAAATGAAACAAACGAGGAGGAAACAGACACATATTTGCCTCACCTTATCGCACGTAGTTGTCCCAAATGGTGCGCACCGTTTTGCAATCGTTTGGTACAAAGCATAAGTTCTAATGCTTGTTCTCAACACATGCAGGTGTGTAGCTCATTTTATTTGTTCCACTCCTACATCCTTGTTTTTGTCTTTCCACCTGATTCTTTCATCCCTTTGTTATTGCAATTCAAGGCTTGTGATCGTGTGTGTATTGTTTTATCTTGTTCTACACCTATAGCGCGATTGCGCAAGGACATCTACCAGGCACATGTCCTGGACTGTGCCATTCATTCAATTCATGCCCCTCCTTACATGGTTGTTGTTCAAACAATTGATGAATTGGAAGCCTTGCAGTAGCAATTGATCTTGGGGACAATGCATGGAAAAATGGAAAGCCTATGCAGACTGTGGATAGTCACTCCACAACCATTCCGCCACCCCATGCCTATTCAGTCTTTTGCGATTAAGGTCGAATAGTAGGTCGAACAGTAGGCTGCAGTATTCTTTGTCTTCCTCATATTCGGGCAAAACGACCAATTCTAAGCAGTACTCGATTGGAGGGAGAGAGTGAAAACAAAAGGACGAACGAATTTCCAACTTTTCAAATTAAAATGCTAACGAATGCCTTCTTATAGATCACGGGTCAGTCAGCCTACTTTCAAGGCAAGTTTCTTTGAAACTGTCACTAAACATATTTTCATCCCCCTAGTTTATCTTCCGCTGGGATTCTGAGAATCGCTCTAAAGCAGTTCCATCATTTGCAAAGCAACATGGTTTTGTGGGAGACTCACCTGGAATCTAGCAGAATTTCTCGTTCATGATGTCTTTAGGCATCTGAATGTGTTGCACCACACCGCTTCATGTTTCAGTTCGTACGATATTCGAGATATCGCGACACAGGAATAGACGAAACCGGTCGTGGGCTGTCGAAGAATTTTCAGCAAACTTATGACGTATAGAAGCAACACATTACTCATTCATGGCCCACGCCATTTTGCTGCTTTTTCAGTTGAAGTTGCAATGATATAATGGTGCTGGCGACTACCTCTTGAGGATTTAAACTTTACTTGGAGCTCGAGATGGCTTAGTAGTTGAGGTGCGAACTTACCGGAAGATCCATGATTCAAGCATTTTGACTGCTTCTGTCAAGGCTTGGGCAACCTTGCAGTTTCCCAGCCCTCGTGCTTCCTTCATGTAGCATGGCAGCTAGGCACTGAAAGCGTACTACAACTGATCCAAGGAGACAGAAGTGAAACCTCTCCAAGGACAACACCTCAAGCACAGGCAAATACACATTTCGAAGAGCTAGTTTCCAAAACAGACTTCTAGTGAGCTCATAAGCTGCCTACTCGCTATTTTATCCTGTTAATTTTATCAAATAGAGCGCTAAGTGAGGAGGAGCGTTGTATGCTAGAGAAGAGCTTGAATTTCGCGGTAAATGACAAGGTGATAACGGGAATGGATGGTGAGAGGTAATCCCTAGTGTTGAAACTGTGTTTCAGAATCTTTCGTCAGTGGATGTGAAGAAGCTACGAGTATAGCTGGTCACACTCCTTAATTCCCAGCAAATAGGAGCTTTAGATATTACACCAGCAGAGCGGAGGACGCTAAACACTCTAAATCATGTGAACAACACTGTGATTACAGAGGGAGATAATGATAAGGCCTCCGTCGTCACGGAGGCCTATCTACAAAAGGTCCTTACCGGCAGGCCTTTATAGGGATTATCACATCTATGATGGATAGGAGTAAAGTTGACGTTTGAAGGTATTAGCTGTCCGTGATTTGTCACTTAGGGCGAGGTAATTGGAATCGATTGTACCCCACCGGTGCAATCCACCTGCGGCTTTATGGCCTACAAAAATCCATAAACTAGGTGTCCGGTTGAGACCGATACTAGACCGAATAGGTTCCTCACCTCATGAGCTGTCCAGAGTATTCTCAAATCCCTCGCCGGAGTTTCTACTACTTACATTAGGAACTCATACGGCTATGCCAACAAAGTAGTGGGTGTCACCATGGGACCAGACGATATTCTTGTGAGGTTCGATGTAAATTCGTCATATACCGATGTCCCATAAGGGGACTCTGCAAATAGCCAAGCGATTGCTATTGCAGACACCAACTTTCAGAACGGACACAGCTTACGGTAGATGAAATAGTGGAAGACAGGAAAACATGTGTGAATTTCACTCACTTCGTTTTAGACTCCGTGGTTTATACTGAAGAACAAGGACTTGCAACCTCTTGCGATCTCTAATGTCTGCAGTTTCGGCAAATATTTCTGTGGAGCTTTACAACACATCAAAATGAGCAGGAGTTAACTTCGAATACACCATCCTTCTTAGACTGCGTGGCACATACTGTCGAAGGGAAACACAAAACAACAGTATATGAGAAGTCAACCAACACTGCGGTGATTATGGGCTACTCGCCTGCCTCTCCGAAGCCGGTATTCGCTGGTATTGCTTCATCAATGTTTAGGCGTATCAGGGCTCTGTGCACTGAAGAACTTGATCGGACAACGACCTAAAGTGAAGTGAAGAACAAACTTTTGAGTAGTAAATATCCAGCTAATTTGATTGGGCATCAATTACGAAGGGTGTTGTTAGGGGTGACGAAAACCAATGGGGAGTGGATTGAGACTCCTGTTATTGCACATCGGAAGTCCTTCGGGGGACTCTATATACGGCTAGCATGGGAGTATCTTTCCAGAAGGGAAATACTGCGCTCCGCACTGGTGAAATTGAAGGATCGCCCCTCGGTGAACAGAACCATGGACTGTGTCTTCAAAATTAAATGAGACGAATGCACTTAGGTCTTTATAAGACAGACGACCAGGGAAAATCACACCAGAATCGGTGAGAACAGGTGCAAAATAAACAGGCCGCCGAGAAGTGCAGGTGAATATTGAGCGTTACTGAAAGACTCAATAATAGAGTAACATGCACTGGACACGGGACACAATGTAGATTTAGAGAATGTTATGGTTTTGGGACGAGGACTACGGTCCCCACTACAAATGGCCGAGTCGGTGCAAATCGCCAAGCATCCCTTCGAATAGAGTAAAAAGTGTAGAACTGGCAAGCATGTGGAGGACGCTTTTGGGTCAGTTGAGCTGACACGTGGTGTTGGCCCAGCTCTCACCCTCCCATTCCCTAATTAGATTCTCGTAGCGCTTACAAACCGAAATTCCCGCAACTCACAAACGTTAGATTTAGGCAACCACAATGACCGACAAGACCCTTTAACCGAGATTCAACACTGATCTTGTGTGCTAATCTGAAGATGTCTTGCAGACTGTTTGTCCGTCCGCCTTAAGACCTAGCCAAATTGGTGGCCTGCTTACTTGGCTTGATGAAGCTTTTGTGTCAAAGTTTTTTGTGTCTATTTGAAACTATCGAATGTTCACCAACCCCTTCTGAAACAAGGTGACTTTACCTGGGAAAGCTATTCCCTTCTCTTGTTAAGTAAAATGAGAGACGTACGAAAGTCAGTTGCTGTTTCCTACTAACGGTGACTAGGCAGCTGCTACGTTTTGGTCAAACGTGAACTCATACTTTCTCGACCATCAACTCTAGGATCTCCTTAAATTCTGAGTGTGATTCTCTCACCTTGGCGTCCTTCTTAGAGTGTTTACTTAAAGCACGAAGTGTCGAAGCGTGTTGTATACATTTTAAGAGAATTTTTGCGTGAAATTTTCATAGTCAGTTGGAAATCCAGTGCTATTTCAAACCTGATCATTTGACTGAGAGACAGTCAGCCTCACTTAAATTACGAACAACCGCCCTCTCTCACACTCTGTCTCACCAATCGTAGATTTTATTGTTTTAGTGTGTTGATTTCACCCAGATTTCCACTTTAGCCGCCACTCCGTTGGATTGTTTTCCGCGTTGGATTTCGATCAGACAGACCGTCTCAGCAAAAGCTGATTTTTTTTTACTTTCTGTCCAAACTGCCGTCCTATTATTCCACTTCTTTTCTAACCTTTGTCACTGCTGAATGGGCTTAGACTGCATAGAGGCGTACTGGATGAGATGTATTGCTTTGCCCCCTTCATGTAGAGAGGTGTAGTCATTAGGATTTAGACTAATTGAGTGAATGGATTTTTTTTCACTGTCCGCAGAGGGGTGCCGAGTTGAACAACCACCATTTTATTACTGATCAGTTTTGAAACGGAACACAAACTCCATCTTTCTCCCAGTTCGGCTTTTAGCGCATATTATTCGTGCGAATAATACTCTCGAAAAACCGTACTCAGTTCAGTTATTTCTCTCGGGACAACTATGGATGTCTGGAGTACTACGGCGTGATGTGAAAGCTGATATGCAAATTAATCCGTTTCATTAGAGACTCCTTGTGCCGTTCGACCGACGTACGCATGGCAGTTGGTAATTCAATTTCCCTCTTTTCCGTTCATCCGAGAGGCTTCATTACCAATTTCACCAGTCAAACAGTTTCCAATTGTTTACCGAGCAGCGGCGTTAACTTTGAAACATTTTGCTTGGAAGAATACAACAGAGCAGTTCGCATTCCGAAGAAGGTGGACATGGACGGGATTTTTCCCATCCAGCCGCTGTCTGTCGGTAGAGCGAGAAGACCTGGGATTCGGAATGTCGACCTTTCATTTGCTTATCGTATGGCTTACGAAATAATGGACAATGTTTGACTAACGCGATATTCAGTTCGTCAGCGACCGTCATCATTGATTCACAGTATAGTAACCTTGCATGGCAGTGCAGTCTGAAGAAATCAGATACATTAGATTAACCAGAGGATCTTTCTTGACGCCTATTTGCTTTGCAGTGATTACATCGACGTCGTTCTCTTGACATCGTCCTGAGTAGTACAGGATCACCGAGAGATGTAATTTCTGTGTAAAGTTGTCCCGATAAGAACTGGGTAAGCAGTGCGATTTTGGCACTGAGAAGGCACGTATTACTTAGAGCACTACGGCTGCAGAATCTGTGACAAGGTACAGAGTTAAACCTACTTTATCACGAACTCGCTCTCTTTTAGGCTTCGTGTTTGCTGAGCACGAATGTACATATGTGTGGAATCATTCGTCCACTCATTTATTTATTTATTTAATTATTCATTCGATGGATCAAAAGGAACCACAAAACATCCCAGTGGAAATCTCAGGAACGCAACCCTAGCGTTGGGCAGTTTAATCTCCTACTAGAATGTCCAATATTTCGTGCTTTCATTGTGCAAGTAGCAAGGAGCAAAAATTTCGCTTACTGATTCCGGTAGTTGGATCTAAAACTGATGAATACTTAAGGGAAACAAATTCGTATAATGCGGATACGATAATTATGACTTAACTCACATGGGAAAATTTGTTTTGAGTTTCAGTTTTATTCTGTTGTTTAGTTTCCTTCATCACGATTTAAACTAACTTGATTGCTCGTTCAACTGATTTCATCCCCAAATGCTTTCGGTCGTCAGATCCATACGGAATTAATTGATTTTTCCGCATCTGTTATTACGCTGTCGCTAGAATTGCTTCCCAGTTACCCTGGGATGCAATAAGTTTTAGATGAGGCGATGATTTATTATTTACTGCCCAATAGTTGGACCAAGTCGACCGACCGTGTGCTGTACTGAAATAATAAGGAGAAACGATATGACGAAGCTAGTTTGGACAAAAGTTGGACACAAAGACAATAATGAAAACTGATGAGAGCGCGATCGATGAACAAGAGAGTTGTGCGGTAAATTGCACTGTAGTGGACGACAATGGATTGTTTAGCCTGACTTCCTTTGGCTCTGATAATCTGTAAAGAATTAACGGAGTTAGCATTTTTACTACAGACATACAAAAAAATCAGGCCAAACTTTCAACCGGGTTTTGAGCCTTCTTGAGAACTTATTAGGCAAATGTGTTCGACCGCTAATTGACGGCACATAAAGGGCGTCCTGAGTCACCACAACTAAGCACAGCACTTGTTCGTACTTGCTGAAGTTAGTAAACATGATCAGAGCCTTAGAGATTCGTGTACTGAGCTCATCTGTCACATTAATATAGGAACTAACATAACTCCCATATTACGTAAAGCCCTCCACAACCTCGAGCACGTCACGTCGGATTGAAAGTGGTGTGTTCACTGACTACATATCCAGGAACATGTGGATGAAAAGCGCCCCCAAAAGGACCAGATGATTTTAGCCAGCTTCATAGACTACATCAAATCGGGTGGGATAGTCGCTAAATGAACCAGATTGTTATAATTGGTGGGTGTTTTGTATTTAGGCGAACACCAGAATCTCCATCCTTACCGACTTCTCAAATGCAGTCGAGGGGTCCGAGAGTCCTGAGTAGCTTCTGTTGCATCTTCAGAGACCCTTCATAATTCAGGACCAAGGACTCCTTTGAATATACTGTTTTCTCATCCACATTGTAGAGCGTGATATATCGTGTCACAGCACAAGGCTTGAAGATGGTTCAATTCAGAGCATATTATGTTATATGCCCAGTTATATATTCAGTGCCATAGAAACATGCATTTCATACAGATTTTATTCCATCTTCCGAATTCTCGCCGATTGGTGCCACTGACTGGGATTTCACTTTTATTTGATCTCAATATTAAAGCATATTCCAAACTTTCAACCGGGTTTTGAGCCTTCTTGAGATCTTATTAGGCAAATGTGTTCGACCGCTAATTGACGGCACATAAAGGGCGTCTTGAGTCACCACAACTAAGCACAGCACTTGTTCGTACTTGCTGAAGGTGTATGAATCGATTGTTGCATTGTTAATTAGCTTCTCTAAGAGTGAAACATAGATATTCAATATGGATACACGAAATAATCCAGGGTAACGTTAATTGAACTGCTCAAATGAAGGCCACGTGAATCAATTTTCAGCCAATTCAGTCCTCATTTCCGCTTACCACTCAGTCGGTTGTACGTAGCACGGTCGAATGCATCGACTATTCTCCGGTTCTGCATGGTTCTGCATCTGATCTCTAGCTTTATCGAATACCAAATCCACCTGTGAGTATTGTGTTTCGATAGTCCATGGACATGACCTTATTTCAGGCTAAAAATCTAACATATTTTTCTCATCGACAGCAACGTAGGTGCGCTTGTCTGACTTGATTTCCCTCTTCCACTTGGATTTTACGTCACTTGCGTAAAAGCATGCTGAAATTTACCCCAACAATGATTCTGCCGATAGCCTACAACGGCTCCAGTACACCCTATATTATTTTGACACCAACCCGCACCCCCATTCCACTCTGGGTAAGGTCAGTGTTTAGCTTGCTCAAGATCACAACGTTACAGCATTTATGGGGGCGAGATAGCTCGTGATTAGAGCGCGAATTCACGAACCCGACCTCTACCTCTCGACTTCCCTGTCTAGGCTTGGGCAACCTGGCAGTATCCCAGCCCTCGTGCTTCATTCAGGTAGCATGGCAGTTAGGCGTCGAAAGGGTGTTACAGCTGAGCGATTATAGCATTTATGCTAATCCCGGTTCTAGATGTATCGCAACTGTGGTAGACTAACCTGAGAACTCCGAATGCCACCGTTGCCATGTTAGTCTGATTTACCTATTTTCGCTTGACATATTTGGGCACTGGTATTCGTACGCCTCTTTATATTTCACTACCGATCCTACCTTAGTTGACATGCCGAATCTTACCCAAAACTTGGTGGTCATGCTTACAAAACTGGAGTAGTTAGGCAAGGGAAACATTTGACCGAAAGTTCAAGTCCTACGGGTCATCACTCTGTTTTCGAGCAATTTGCATCAGCAAGTGAGGGTAGGTAGAGCGGTGAATTTGACTCTGACCAGTGTCGTTGTCAGTAAGTTGTTTAGTTTGACTGCTTCTAATCGCCTGTTAAACAGTGGAATAACTTGAGGAGGTAACATGGATTGTTCGATAACTGCGGCTGGTGTGATGTGTTTGACAATGTAAGCACCCTATTTTGATTCTTCTTGACAGTGTACCATTGACAGAGATGCAAACATTCAGTCAATTCTGGGGATTAGTGAAATTTCACGTTAGACCATTTTCACTCTCATTCTCGCCTGGTCACAAATAATTTCTTGTTCGACTTTATGCTTCCAAAAATGAAGCCCTTAAGACCACAGGGCGACGACGAAATAGTGGGAAAGTTTCTGGTTTAATGCAACGAGAGTTTTACTGAATTGTCTATTGTGCCCTTCCTAAGTAGATGTTCGCCGTTGGCGACGTCGATACTTCTTTACAATGCTTGTAATTTTGCATAATAATCCTGTGCATCCTTTTGGCTACTTCTTCCGGTCGGCGCTTGATAAATTCCCTAGCCTTTCCGATTTGGAGTAAGGGGCGGGGAAAGTTTGTTAAGCAATCTATTTTGTGCCTAGCAAGTAGCCAGCTGAACCTAAATTTGAACGAAGCGGATCCGATCAATTTATGGAGGCTAAAGAATTAGCTACCGCCACTCCGTCTTGATAAATGTTTGGCTTGCTTAATTTTTCACGAAAAAGTGCACAATGGCCCTTTTCTTCACATTTTCTTTATTTGTAGTGAAGCCTTCCCGGAATGTCCCCGCAATTGGCGAAAGATAGTCAAGATTTGGTATCCTGTTTGGTTTGGATTACAGCCGGAATTTCTTGGGTTCGAACATTTAGATAAATAAGTAAAATCATCCGCCTCACTGTACTTCCGAAGCAAGTACAAGTAAACTGTCAAACAGTTGCCGATATATGTCTACTCCTTATAGGGAGACGCACCGAATGGGTTGGCTAAAAGTTATTTCTTCCGGACTTCACTGATCCCAATATGGTTCAGGAGGCGAGTGCGCATATCAAGAAGGTCAAATCTCTGAATGACCCCAGGATGCCAGAAACCTACTGAGACCCACAAACGCCACCAAAATCTTAGTAGGGAAGCCGGTAAGCATCCATGCTAGTCAGTCAATCAATCGATTCCGCAAAGGCGAAGAATGTTCAGGCACACCAACCGAACCCAACCAACTACGATAAGATTTTGGGCATTTCATAGAATTACGGTCGATGATGGTAGATGTTTAATAAGTGTCGATCAGACAGCCCTGATCAATGGTTAAAATACCCTTTAAGTAGCGCGAGGAGCCTTGTAACTTTTGCACTCGCTCATTCAAAATAAGCCTGTTGAATTCCTTGTTGGCTAGTCTTTTCCCGTCACTAATGTACAGGAGTGGGGACAACACCACACAAAGTTTTTTCCTTGTGAGGCAGCTAATCGTCTCCTTGAGCGGGAGGTCCAGCATTGATAAGCGAAGAACGCCAATAGATCCAGGATACTACACGCATAATTACGGCCTCTATTGTTGGTTTTCCGCCAAGTTTCATGGACAACAATGGGATACCAACCTTTCGAAGAATATTGACAGCCCCTGTCCAGAAGACATAACGCACCAACCTTATGCCAGAGCCCGAGGACGACAGTCACTGGACCGTACCAGTCAACGCGGGTAACCTCGATGCCTGAGTATATTGTGACACGTCACTTCCTTACGGAGAATACTGTATCCCCAGTATATCCGTGTATACCTGACTGGTTGTTCTTAAATTCGTGACCATTCAGGTTTTACTGAACGATTTAATCGAGAAGTCGATTGGTTACTATAATTGCAAGCCTATAACCAGTCATGGTAACCCATAGCTCTGATTTACAGAGAAGTTAACCTGAACAATACTTCGGATTCGTTCGGCGAGTTTTTTTTACCATTTTTTGACGGTATCCGTATCAAATTGCTCCCGGCTCGTTCTGGCCTTGTTTTTCATTTCTTCATTTATCTTTATCGACATTTTTCGTCTGCTTCTTTGTCCACATTGAGCTAGCCTGAAAACTATGTCCTACTTTCCTTGTGTTTAGCTCAATTTTTTCTGTCCAATGACAGACTGACTTTCATGCGATCAATAAACAATACAATTGCTGCTACAGACACTTATGTTATGGAGTTTGAGCAGCGTTTGCGAATCGGTCAAGCCAGGCTTTATTTTTAATTTTCGAGCATTTATTGGTTCTCCCAAGCAAATGATTTTTCTGTTAACGCCTGCCGACTGCTGCTATTTTTTTTAGTTAACGCTGCCGACTGCTGCTATTTTTTTTTAAATGTGGAACAAACCAACATCAACTGAACGGCTTCGTGCCATCCAGGCGGCATAAATCAAAGTGGGTGCTTTCAGAGCCGATATCATACGAATGATCAAACTCCGACATTCTGGAAGGCGACATACTGTAACGTTACGGGTAATGATTCATGTTTCTTTTCTCCACTGACAGTCAGTGCGTTCTATCTGATTGAATTCGTACAGCTGTTAGGAGTGTTTGAAGCTCGATAGTTTACGGTTGTAGCCGTCTCGTTCAACTCGCGACTTGATTTCCGTTTACTAGGGAAGACACGATTCGTTGGTTGGGATTCCTGTTAGTATTTTGTACAATTGCACACACACACAAACAATGCTGCGACATAATGCTCTGGCTCGCTTGTTTTGCTTACACCTTTTCTCCGTACGAGGAAGGGTTATTGCAACATCACTATTGTGGGACGTCCGTCAACGTATTCTGTGTTCTTTTTCTCATTTATCCTGCAGGCGATTTTGATCATTGCTGGTTTTCTTCTGATTCACGAGATTGTTTTATATTTGTGTTATAATATTTTTCGCGCAGCGCACTTTTACACCTTCATATTCGGAAGTCCCGGTATTCTCTGATAGGTGTACCGAAAAGGAATGTTAATCTGTTTAGACAGGAATCCTAAATTATTTCGAGAGAAATCTGAGGATGAGTCAGTGTGAAGTTGGGACGTTCCAACTGCATGAAACTGGAAGCGCTTCATACCCCAGAGCTGGATATCTTTACCTAAAACAGAATCATCATTAGCTTCGAATCGTGACAATTTGTCATGAAAAAGGCACAGCATACAAGCAAATGGATACAATTGATTTGTTGGGATACAGTACTGAATTATAGCGTTCCATAGGTATACTTCTTACGTTTTTCCTCGAAGTTTGTTGCATTTACTAGGCTAAAGGGTCATACAGGTATTTCACTGTGACGAAAGTTTTCCAAATAAAAACACGTCCGAGTGCTTAGAGTAGTCTGTACTCCCGAAGTGATCAATTTCCGGAAGAATTTCAGTAGTTTAATCATCTTACCAAAGCTACGGGTGCATGAAGACCATCACAAAATGCCTATTAACTTTGACGTTACGCGCGTCTAGTTGATTGACATATGTCAGTTTCATTTTGTTCAACACAACTTCATGTCAAAGCACGGCAGCATAAAGTGAGGCTAAACAAAGGATAATAAGGGGTGTGTTGAGGAAGATATGTACGGTGCCTGTTCAAGTGTCTCACTACCAGTACACTATATCTTAGTGACGAGGGGGAGTTAAAACAGTTAAACACAGCGCCAAAAATGAAGTTTTACTTCTAAGCAGGCGTGCCTGCAGCGATCCTGTTTCGTTTTTTAGTGCTTAGGCTAAATATGACAGTACCAGTTACTGCGATCTTTGAAAAAAACACTGTCAGCTTTGCAACGTGTGCAACAGAGTTGTACAGCAAAAAGTTTGAAAGCATTTTTTTCAAAAAATCGGAATTTGAAGGGAATTTTTGTCTTATGGTTCTGTCTCATTTCATAAGTACTGAGGATAAAAGAGGATAAGAGTTGTACAGTGCATTTCGGCTTTTCATTGGAGGTTTACTGTGCCTGACAGGACGAATCCTATAGTCGTTACGAATTGTTGCGAAGCCACAATATCAGATGTCTAAGCACCTTCTACTCTGTGAGTATGCTCTGGCAGGCGACCGCGTGATTGGGATGATCCGTGATCAAAAGATTCTCGTTGTCGTTCCAGAAAACTGGGAACCTTAGGTTCTTCTTTTTCATTTAAGCAGTACAGCCGGAAAATATGGTTCGTATTGTATACCTTGCTACTTCAGAAGACTCAAGTCGTTCCATCCAGCCGCTAATCCCATTTAAGGTGGCGAGTAGAATAATAGACAAGTTCGATGAGAGGTTTTCTCGAGCTATTATGGGGGTGATGTTGGTTATACCAACCCGAATATCCTCACGGCATTGATGTTCGAAACTTCAGTTTGCGCTGTTTCCCAAATCATGCACGGTTCGTGCTAAGTTCAGGCGCAGTCGGCTTCCAGTGACCTTGTGTTCAATGTCAAATGTGTCTGTTGATTTGGTTTATCGATCATTTCCTACTGGGTTCCTAGCAGATAACCTAAATTACACGCTTGAATAAACATGGACATGTCCGACCGCTATTCCTACTTTACGAAACAGTTTCGTTTGACCATTCGTGGCCATACCGTTTAAATAAATTCGCAAAGCCAACACCTGGAAGTCAGGATATTCCTACCTCAAGCTACACAAGCTGTTACAAGGATCTCTGAGCATGACGGTGTCGAAAGTT